TGATAGAATTCAGCAGAGAATCCATCAGGTCCTGGACTTTTCTTTTTGGGGAGACTCTTGATTGCTGCTTCAATTTCATTTTGTGTTATAGGTCTATTCAGGTGATTAATTTCCTCTTGGTTCAGTTTTGGATGATCATATGTATCTAGAAATCTGTCCATTTCTTTAGATTTTCAAATTTATTTGAATATAGGTTCTCAAAGTAGTCTCTGATGATTTCCTGGACTTCCATGGTGTTTGTTGTTATCTCCCCTTTTGCATTCCTGATTCTACTAATTTGGGTTTTTTCTCTCCTCATTTTAGTCAGGTTTGCCAGGGGTCTATCGATCTTGTTTATTTTTTCAAAGAACCAACTTTTTGTTTCATTAATTCTTTGTATGGTTTTTTTGGTTTCTATTTCGTTGATTTCAGCTCTTATTTTTATTATTTCTCTCCTTCTATTTGTTTTGGGATTTGCTTGTTCTTGTTTTTCTAGGAGTTTGAGATGTATCATTAGGTCATTGATTTGGGATCTTTCAATCTTTTTAATATATGCACTCATGGCTATAAACTTTCCTCTCAAGACTGCCTTAGCTGTGTCCCATAGGTTCCGGTAGGTTGTGTTTTCATTTTCATTGACTTCAGGAACTTTTTAATTTCCTCTTTTATTGCATCGATGATCCATTCTTCATTAAGTAATGAGTTATTTAGTTTCCAGCTGTTTGCATGTTTTTTGTCTTTACTTTTGTTGTTGAGTTCTACTTTTACTGCATTGTGGTCAGATAGTATGCACGGTATTATTTCTATTTTCTTATATTTGCTGAGGCTTGCTTTGTGCCCTAGGATATGATCTATTTTGGAGAAGGTTCCATGGGCTGCTGAGAAGAATGTATATTGTGTAGAGGTTGGATGAAATGTTCTGTAGACATCTACTAGGTCCATTTGATCTATTGCATATTTTAGATCTTGGATTTCTTTATTGAGTTTTTGTTTGGATGACCTATCTATTGATGATAATGGAGTGTTAAAGTCTCCCACAACCACTGTGTTGGCGTTTATATATGCTTTTAGGTCTTTCAGGGTATGTTTGATGAAATTGGGTGCGTTGACATTGGGTGCGTACAGATTGATGATTATTATTTCCTTTTGGTCTATTTCCCCTTTTATTAGTATGGAATGTCCTTCTTTATCTCGTTTGATCAATGTAGGTTTGAAGTCTACTTTGTCAGAGATAAGTATTGCTACTCCTGCTGTTTTCGGGGCCATTGGCTTGGTAAATCTTCTTCCAGCCTTTCATCCTAAGCATATGCTTATTTCTGTCGGTGAGATGAGTCTCCTGTAAGCAACAAATTGTTGGATCTTCTTTTTTAATCCATTTTGTCAAACGGTGTCTTTTGATGGGTGAATTAAGTCCATTAACATTAAGCGTTAGTACTGATAGGTGTGGTGATTCCTGCCATTTAGTTGTCTTAGTTGTTTGAAGGTTTGATTGTGTGTACCTAACTTGATGTTACTCTCTTCTGTCTTGCTTTTTCTTATCCTGTGGTTTGGTGCTGCCTGCCTTTTCATGGTTAAGTTGGGTGTCACTTTCTGTGTGCAGGATCCCTTGCAGAATCTTTTGTAATGGTGGCTTTGTGGTCACATATTGTTTTAGTTTCTGCTTATCATGGAAGACTTTTATTGCTCCATCTATTTTGAATGATAGCTTTGCTGGGTAGAGTATCCTGGGGTTGAAGTTATTTTCATTCAGTGCCGGAAGATCTCACCCCGCTCTTCTTGCTTTTAATGTTTCTGTTGAGAAGTCTGCTGTGATTTTGATGGGTTTACCTTTGTATGTTACTTGTTTTTTCTCTCTTACAGCCTTCAATATTCTTTCCTTAGTTTCTGACTTGTTGTTTTAATGATGATATGTCGTGGAGTAGTTCTATTTTGATCTGGTCTGTTTGGTGTCCTGGAGGCCTCTTGCATTGTATGGGAATATCTTTCTCTAGATTTGGGAAATTTCCGTTATTATTTTGTTGAATATATTACGCATTCCCTTTGCTTGCACCTCTTCTCCTTCTTCATGCCCATGATTCTCAAGGTTTGGTCTTTTGATGGAGTCAGTGAGTTCTTGCATTTTCTTTTCACAGGTCTTGAGTGTTTAATTACTAGTTCTTTCAGTTTTTGCTTTAATTACCATTTCATCTTCAGAGTTCTGAGATTGCTGTCTTCCTGTTTGTTCTATGTCTGGGCTGGATTGGCTTCCGTTTTGTTTTGCAATTGCTGTTTCGTTCTTTTTTTCTGGAGGTTTTTCGCATATTCTGGCTGTTTTCTTTTCTTCTTTATTGTTGTCTATTTTTGTTCCTGAGTTCATTATTCCATTATTCATTGTGTTCTCTCTTTCACTTTGTGTTTAATACAGTGCTTCTATTGGTTCTTTATTTCTTCTTTTGCTTTTAAATTCTATTCTCTATTTTTATTGTCTGGAAATTTCTTTGAGTTGTCTCCCCTGTACATTTTGGTTGACCCTATTCCAATATCATCTCTATATAAATTTTCATTTGGTTACTTGTAGTATGTCTTCTTTTAAATTATTCTTTGGTGGGCTTCATTGGGTTTCCTTTGGCATGTTTTATCTTATTTTGTTGGAGTCTGGAATTGAGTTTCTGTTCTCTTCATTCCCTCCTGGTTCCTGTACTAATTTTTTGCTGTGGGGAAACTGGTTTCCTGTTTTTTCTGTCTTCCCGTCATTGTCCTTGGTGTTGTTACTGTCCCTGTACTGTGTGCAATTAAGTATTTTTCTAGCTTGTAATAATAACAATGTAATATTTAGAATGGGAAGGTGAGCTGAGATGGAAAGCAAGAAGTTAAAGAAAAGGGAAACAAATAACAGACAAAGGAGAAAGCAGAAACAAGGTATCAGACAAGAAAGTTTCAAAGGTATAAACAGGAGTGTTAGTGTACTAATCGACAGTAAGCAACAGACATTAGAGAGACAGAGAGAGGATTGAAAATCAAGATAAAAAAATAAAAATAAGTAATGAAAGTAATATCTATTATAAAATGAATTAAATAAAATGAAAATAGAAAATTAAAAAAAAAAACCAAAAACTTCCAAGTTAATGCAATGAATTCAGTCTTAATAATTTGGTGTCCGTCTCAGTCTCCATCCTGGAGTGTGCCTCAATGTTGTTCTGTAGTGTCTCATCAAAGGGATGCATAAAGTAGAACAAACACACTCACACACACACAGCAAAAAAAAAAAAACCCCACAAGTGTCCCAGTTCAAATGCAATTACAGTTTCAGTAAGTTTTTCAGCTTGCAGGTGTAATTTCGGTTGTTCTCTCATCAAAGGTAGGGAGAAGAAAAAAAAAGAGTCTGGAGACAGTTCTGAGAGTGGTATCTTGCAACTGTGGCTTGCCTGCCTGCTGCTCTCAGCCTGTGCTGGGGCGTTATTTATGCAGATCTCTGGGTGAGCTAGCAAACTCACCTGGTGGCCCCACAGGCTTTGTTTGCTCAGAGTTCTCCTGTGGGAGCCTCTGCTACAGGCTTTTCCCCTTCAAGCACTGGGAAAGGTGACATGGCCCCGGTTGTCAGGCCTGCGTGTTTATTTACAGTTCACGTGGATGGCGTCTTCCCTCCTTCAACAAGCGTCCCCGCTCCTGGTTGCTGGGCGCGCCCCGCTCCCGAAGGCCTCTCCGCCAGCCCGGTCGTTTATTTACAGTTCCCGGAAGATGCCCTTCCCCCGATCCTTCAGCGCTTCAGGGCGCCCCACGCCTCTTTCCAGCGTTGTCTTAACGTTCTATTGCTTAGTACTCAGTTTCTCTTTTTTCCCGGTGGAGGGTAGTCTGTCCAGGGGGCTATGCTGCTCTGGCCCCAGTTGTCTGTGGAGCTACCGCGGTACCCACGAAAGCCTCACCTGGTTTGCCGTCTTCCCAGCCGTATGGGCGCACGGCCACTGGCGGGCCCGGGCCCTTCCTCGGTTCTCCGGTAACGTGAAGTGGGGTTCTCTGCACCGGCTGGAGATGTGGAGGGGTCAAATTATTATGCCTTTCTCGGTGATTATGCCTGCAAAGTGTTAATCTCCAGCATCTCATCCAAGATCTTCACATAGGAGGCTCGCTTCTGCTCCTAAACCTTCTAGCGCCACTTGGGAACTCTGTGCCTAGTATTTTTTAAATTGATATGTTATGAATTGTATTTTATTGGATGTTGAATTTCATCTTATTCTTTTAAATAAGTTTGTGTATAATCTAGGATCTGGGAACATAGCTTGTCAATAGAGTCCTTGCCTAGCATGCACAGGCCCTGGGATCCATCCCCAGGACAACTTAAAAAAATGTAGAATGCAGTCAGTCCTGTAAACTTTTCATGGCTTTCTGGTTTCTGAATATAAAGTTATAAAATTTTTTTCTTTTTTTAAAATCATATATGTAACTTTAAAATGTTATATATGTTTCAAATGAGCACTGTTCCTTTTTTTTCATGAGCATTAGAAAGAAAGAAAAGAGAGAGAAAAAAAGGAAGGAAGAAAGAAAGAAAGAAGGAAAGAAATAATGTGATCCTAGCACTACGGAGGCTGAGGCCACAGTATAGCAAGTTCAAGGACAGCCTGGGTTACACAGTGAGACCCTGTTTCCAAAAAAACAAAAACCAGGCTGGAGTTGTAGCTGAAGTGTAGCATGCCTGCCTATTAAGCTTGAGGTCCTGCGTTCAAACTCTAGTACTGCCAAAAAAGAAAAAGGAAAAAAAAAAAAGAAACTTGTGGGTACATTCCAGAGGACATTACATATATACCCATCTATTCTGAAGTCCAGAATCATAGAAAAATACTGGCTTCTTGGATCTTTACTGGGTGTTAGGGGGTGGATATTTTGAAGATAAGGCATAGCTATTTTCACACATACTGTTTGGCTGTTGAGACCTTCAGCCTCTTCCACTTAGAGATACCCGAGGCACTCTGAATTGGAGGGACCAGTATGTTATTAAGTCAAGTAAAGGAGAGATTCTAATATTTCTGTTTTTTCCCCTATTGCAGGCACGTTCCCTGGAACCTCCATGAGCCAATAATAGGCCAGTTTTATTTCACTGACAACCTGGATCTCATGTATGTGCTATGCTTTAATTTCCTGATTTCAGGATTTAGAGATTGGGATTTGCCTGTGGGGATTAGGTGAAGCAGTAGGGGGCAATGACTGTCTACTTTGAGAACCATTAAGAAAGTGGTAATTTTCTGTCCTAATTTACAGTGGAGCATAGGCCTTGTGTCACCGTGTGGTTTAGAAACTGTTCATCCAGCATTCTACAGTGTTAGTCTATCAGGAAGAACCTATTCTCTCAAGTAAAAATAGTTGATTTCTGGTCTATAGTTTATAGAGTTCCTAAGACATGGCAGAAGTAGAGTATCTGTTTATTCAGAAATACATATTTATCATCTTCTGTAATTTAGACATTATCTTTGGTGCTGGAGACATACAAAACACTTTGTGCTTTCAAGAGTGAAGATTCTCTGCAGAGGGGAGGGAAATACAATATATTAAGGCTGTGGCCCCAACTAGGGAACAGATCACAGAAGACAATGGTGACATAATAGCTGAGGTAAGTTGCAAGGCTGAGTAGTAGTGAACAGAAGGGGCTGAGTGGTATTTCAGGTGGAGTGCCCAGCAGAGGCAAAGTCAGAGAGTGAAAGTACGGTGTATATCAATTAAGGTGATGTCAGGTGCTGTAACAGGTAAGCCTCAAACTCTTTTGACAGTGAAGGTTTATTTTCATCTAAGCAGAATCTAAAATAGGTATTTCTGATGAATGTATCTCTCTTCCAATAAATGGGAGGATTCAGGGTCTTTCTATCTTGTCCCTCACCATCTTCAACACATAACTTCCAAACCACCATGCCTGTCTTTATCAAACCAGCAAGTGGAAGAAAGAGCATGAAGAATCTCCTTTAGGCCAGGTGCTGATGGCTCATGCCTATAATCCTAGCTACTCAGGAAGCAGAAATCAGGAAGATCACAGTTCGAGGCTAGGCTCAGCAAATAGTTTGTGAGATCCTATCACAAAATTACACAAGGCAAAAGAGGGCTGGCGCAGTGTCTGCCTAGCAAGCATGAGGGTCCTGAGTTCAAACTCCAGAATCTCCTTTAGGTGTCACACTCTGCTCACATTTTATTGCCTGGACATTAGTCATATGGTCCCAGCTAATGCATGGGAGCTGGGAGCTGGGAGCTGTGTTCCAGGAAGAAAGGGGAACGGGTTTGTGATTAACTTTGTGCCACACATTGCATTTTCTTGCCTCTGCGAGTAATGCTGGCTAGCGGAACTGTCAAAAACTGGTGAGATAACGGAAATCCAAATCTTGGCCTAACATTCTTTGCTACAGAATTTGAGAACTATTTTGAGGGCATTGTAGAATTATTGAAGAATTTTAATTTGAGAAGTTTGCATTTAGAATGGTTACTTGTGCAGGATTTTTCTCTTTTGTTTTTTCCTAGAGCTTTGCATATGCTAGGCAAGTGCTCTACTCCTGAACTACATCCCCAGCCCCTCTCCCCCAGACTTTTTAAGAGGCAGCATGACAGAGTAGTTAGGATCCATTTTTGGAGGTTCTGTGCCTGATTTCCAATTTTAGTTTTTCTATTTACCAAGATTTGACCTGAGGAAGCTCTGATCTTGATGTTTTTATTTTCTTATCTGTAAAATGGAGAATATGTTTATACCTGTCTCTTACAATTGCCCAAAACAAACAAAGAAGTTTAACAGTGGTTCCTGATGCTGATACAACAAAAAGTCAGTTCCTGCTGTTGTTGATGATGTTATTATTGACAGTAATTGGAGAAGGATTGGAAGAAGGTAAGAATGAAGGAAGGAAACCAGTCAGTCATTCTATAACTCAAGTGTGAGATGAATTCTGGAACCAGTGTGGTAGCAGTAGGCATGCAGAGGAAGTGAAAATGTGAAAAATATAGGTTGGAAGAATGAACCTGATTTGGTGGCTGATAGACAGCAGGAGGTGAGAAAGAAGGAGGAGCAAGAATAACTTGTAAATCTCTGCCTCCAGTGGCTTCTTGGATGGTGGTTCATTTATGGAGCAGGAGACACAGAGCAGGAGTGGAGTTACATGGTGAAGGCTGGAGTTGGTAGGATGTCTTTAATTTCACTTTAATGCCTTCTCTTCAGTGCCTTGCAGAGCCCACTTCTTACTGAGTGTGGGACTTGCAGTCTCCCCATACATGTCTCCTAGGTAACTTGAGTGGGCCAGGCTGAGAGGTCCATTCATTCGAACTGCAGAAGAAAGCAAGAAGGGAAATGTGGCAGTGATGCCAGTGTGAAATTATTGTCATGCTTTGCTTCCTAGGGCTTTTATATCCATGGCTTCGGAGGTGGGGCTCTGGGTCATTCTGTGTCCAGGCCCCTACATCGGTGTTGACTTAGACCTTGGAGGCTTGCCCAGGTGAGTTGTGTTTTCAGGTCCCTGGCTGAGACTGCACATGGGACAACTCAAAAGCACATTCAAATGCAGTGAGAGCAAAGCGCTTTTGCTTTGTTTCTATGTATATCTGCACTATTTTGTTCATTTAATGATATAGAAAATGATCCTTAAAATGTTGGAGATTATATAATATTTTCCCCCTTTATTCAAAATTGCTATTTATTCATTATCCTACCATCTTTGTTTTTTTTTTTTTTGGTGGTGCAGGAGTTTGAATTTAGGGCTTCACACTTGCTAGGCAAGTGCTCTACTGCTTGAGCCATGCCTCCACACCTACCGTCATTTTATATGTGTGTGTGTGGTTTTCTTTTTAATGGTATAATGGAGTTTTCTGTGTACAATGTACTTGAACAAGTTCACCCCTATATTAAAGTCCCTCACTCTTCTCCACCTCTTGAAAACAGTGTTTGGTGGGTTCATTATACTATTTCATGTATGCAGTGTGCTTCAATCCTCTTTACCTCTCAGTACCCTGTCCTTTCCCAATTCCCTCCAGACAATTCCAACCTTTATACTCAAGTTCCATTGTTATATAGTATTTAAAAAATAAATCTCCATTTCTGAAGTGCAAATGAGGTAGAGTCCAGAATTATTTTTAAAACCAATGAAGTCTGGTGTGGTAGTACACCATAATCCCAGCACTCAGGAGGCTGAGGTAAGAGGATCTCAAGTTCAAGGCCATCCTGGGCTATGTAGCAAAACCTGTCTCAAAAAAAAAAACAAAACAAGGGATAGGGGCATAGCTCAAGGGGTAAAGCACCTGCCTAGCAAGCACAGGCCTTGAGTTCAAACCTAGTTCTCTCTCTTTTTTTTTATTGTTTTATTATTCATAGGTGCATACAAGGCTTGGGTCATTTCTCCCCCCTGCTCCACCCCCTCCCTTACCACCCACTCCGCCCCCTCCCTCTCCCCCCCACCCCCTCAATACCTGGCAGAAACTATTTTGCCCTTATTTCTAATTTTGTTGAAGAGAGAGTATAAGCAATAATAGGAAGGAACAAGGGTTTTTGTTAGTTGAGATAAGGATAGCTATACAGGGAGTTGACTCACATTGATTTCCTCTGTGTGTGTGTTACCTTCTAGGTTAATTCTTTTTGATCTAACCTTTTCTCTAGTTCCTGGTCCCCTTCTCCTATTGGCCTCAGTTGCTTTTAAGGTATCTGCTTTAGTTTCTTTGCATTAAGGGGAACAAATGCTAGCTAATTTTTTAGGTGTCTTACCTATCCTCACCCCTCCCTTGTGTGCTCTCGCTTTTATCATGTGCTCACAGTCCAATCCTCTTGTGTTTGCTCTTGATCTAATGTCCACATATGAGAGAGAACATATGATTTTTGGTCTTTTGGGCCAGGCTAACTTCACTCAGAATGATGTTCTCCAATTCCATCCATTTACCAGTGAATGATAACATTTGGTTCTTCTTCATGGCTGCATAGAATTCCATTGTGTATAGATACCACATTTTCTTAATCCATTCGTCAGTGGTGGAGCATCTTGGCTGTTTCCATAACTTGGCTATTGTGAATAGTGCCGCAATAAACATGGGTGTGCAGGTGCCTCTGGAGTAACCTGTGTCACAGTCTTTTGGGTATATCCCCAAGAGTAAACCCTAGTTCTCTGAAGTGAAATAAAACAAAACAACAAAAACCCAAAAAGCCTAATGGCTACTATTTCTTAAATAATATCTTTGTAAGTTCTAGTTTTTATCATAGTAAAGCACACATAAACACAAAATTGACTGTTTCAGCCCTTTTACAGTGTGCAATTCTGTGGCATTAACCACATCCAGTATATTGAATAATCAGCACCATTGCCTAGTTTCAGAATATTTTTCATCCCTCCAGTAGCAAATCCCATACTTCAGTCTCTCCTCATTTTTTCTTCCTTTCAGCCACAGTGGCAACCTCTATTCCGCCTTTTTCCTCTACAGATTTTCCCATTCTGGATATTTCATATTAATTGAATCTGACACTGTATGTCCTTTGTGGTCTGGCTTATTTCACATAGCATGTGTTCAAGGTTCATCCACGAAGCATCTATCATAATTCCTTCCTTGTCATGGCTGAGTAATACTCCAGTAAAGAGAGCTATCTCTCTTTTACTCTTTCTCTCACTCTGTTTCCCTTTCTCTCCCTATCCCCCCTCTCTATCTAACTCTATAATGTTTAACTTTTTCTATCTCTTATCTCTTACCTTAACTTTTTTTTTTGTGGTACTGGGGTTTGAACTTAAGGCCTTTGTGCTTGCTAGGCAGGCACTCTACCACTTGAGCCACTCTGCCAGCTCTATCTCTTAACTTTTAGATAGCTTTATAACAGTCTCATTCTAGACTGGAGGTTGGCAAACTTCATGTCAAAGACCAGTTAGTAAATTTATTTTAGGCTTTGTGGGCCACAGATAGTCTATTGTAACTACTCAATACTGCTGTGTAGCATGGATGCTGTCACAACAGTATGTAAAAATTGGATGTAGCTGTGTGCCAATAAAAGTTTATTTACAGAAACGGACAGCAGGTGTGACTTGGCTTGTAGGCTGGAGTTTGATGAACTCTGTTTTAGATCATCATTGTACCTATTTGTGTTTTGTGGTGCTTAGCTATTTGTAGCTGGCATACACTACTCTTTCATGAAGCTGGATTAAACTCTCACATCATACTGTTTGGTGTGACTGAGCAAATGTGGCTGTCTGTGTTTTCACCCCCTATTCTTGAACATTTCTTATCACTGTGTCCCATCCCAAGTCTGAGTCTCACCTTTTCAACCCTAGCTGGTTACTCAAGGATCCCAAAATGAAACTGCGGACAACTTATAAAGGCTTCACTAGAGCAGTGAATCTCTATTTTGATCAGCTGATTCCCCGGATACGGTTACTCCAGGTAAAACCCAGCCCCCCCATCTCCACAACTAAGGGAAGTGACTGCCCAAATTGAGCTCCTGAATAAGGCTTACCACTTTCCACACACTCGGAAGCCGCGAGCATGGGCAACAGCGTGTTAGCAATCACCAATTCAGTTCCTTATCTTAAAACATCAGGTCTTAGCCAGCCAGGCATGTGGCATACACCTGTGATCCCAGCACTCAGGAAGCCGAGACAAGAGGATCTCAAGTTTGAGGCCAGCCTGAACTATGTAATAACATCTTGTCTCAAAAGAAAATTGAAGAAGATTCAGAGTTTAATTGCTCTGCTGTTTTACCTTTACCCCACTGATTGCTCACTTGCTAAGATCTGCCTTTTTCCTGGTAGGACACTTGGAAGGACATTTTGTGTATCTTTGCTTTGTATTGCCCACTACTTACTCTTTCTCTGTAGCACTATAAATGGGAGTTTAACAATTAGCCTAAAAATATCCTATTTATCTCTCAAAGACAACTACATACCAATCCTCTACAAATAATAGCTATTAAGGCAACCTTAGGTCAGTGATTCATCTGACTTTCATTTTACTTCTTAGCAATAAAATCAGTGTCATGCATCCTCAGTATTTAAGAAGAAGCAATGTGCCATTATCTTTCTAAAATGGTTGGAAGACATAAAAAAGAACCATATCCTGACGATGCCCAACTTAGGCAGTTCAACTGAAGATTTTTCGACCTTACGATGGTGTGAAAGTTATGTTTTCAGTGGAAACTGTACTTCATCTTTTGAATTTTGGTCTTTGATCTTTTCCTGAGCTAATGATAATGTGGTATGAAATCCTTTCACCATGCTTCCAATCAGTCCCACAATCATAAGGGGGAAACAACAGGTACTCTGCAGTGCACTGTTTCTAAGCTATGATGCTCAGTAAGCTAGGTGTGCTAAATGCATTTTGGACCAAATGGTATTTTCAACTTAGGATGGCTCCATTAGGACATAACCCCATGACAGGTTGTGGAGCACCGAGGTACAAAATGAACAGAGAGGAGTAACAAGTACATAATAACATTTGTTAGGTACTAAACTTTGAACTAGCCTATTTTATCCTCACAGTAATCATGAGAGGGAGAAATCAGAGCGAATGGAGGTAAGCCAAGGCTTGTACATGACTAGAAGAAAGCTTCCCATGGTGTGAATTTGTTAGGAACAGATTTGACTTCTAACACTAAGAGTATCCCAGAGTTAGACCCAGGGAAGCCATTAAAACTCACAAGGCTGGCACACATCTGATATCCCAGCATTCAGGAGGTAGAGGCAGGAGGATCACAAGTTTGAGGTCAGATTGGGCTACATGGAGAGACCCTGTCTCAAAAAAAAGTATCTTATTAGTCCTCTTTTAATTCTGATTTTGGTTTTGTTGTTTTGAGACCCTGTCCCAGCTCTCTCCCCTCCCCTCCAAAAAAAACCCCAGATTCTTTTTCTTCCTGGCAGTACTGAGGCTTGAACTCAGGGACCTCATGCTTGCTATGCAGGCACTTTACCACTTGAGCCACTTGCCAGCACTTTTTTATGTTGGGTATTTTTTTTTGGCAGCATGGGATTTGATCTCAGGGCCTCATGCTTGCTAGGTAGGTACTTTACCACCTGAGCCACTATGCTGGCCCTTTCTGTGTTGGGTATTTTTGAGACAGGATCTCTTGAACTATTTGCCCTGGCTGGTTTCAAACTGAGATACACCTGATCTCTACCTTCTAGCTACACCTGAGTAGCTAGGATTACAGGTGTGAGCCACTGGCCTCTAGATCCCAAAATTCTTAAATGACTAAACACAACATAAGTCAGCATGCCATTTGGGAGACAGAAGATACAGTCTTTTACAGAGAACAGAGCTGTGTTGTCTGAGATGATGGCCATAGCCTTGTGCCTTTTAAAATTAAATTAAATAAAAAATTCAGTTCTTTAGTCATACTAACTACTTTTCCAGTGCTCAATAGCCACATGTGGCTGCTATATTGGACAGTGCAAATATCAAACATTTTCATCACTGCATGAAATTCCACTGGGCATTGCTAGACACATGCTTACTTTCTCTAACTGGGACTTAGTCTTGAGACTCCTGCCTGGAGAACTCAGTTAGCAAGGAGAAAACTGCTAAGTGAGCCTTCATCCAGGTCTGCGGATGTCAGGAAGGCTCAGAGCGCTTACTCTGGCCTTGTGCTTGGGCGCTTCTCACTACTGGGTACCTTTGTTTAGAACTTTCAGTTGTATTTATTAGATTCAGGGGTTCTTGTTTCAGATAATTCCAGGTACTTTCAACTTCTGGATCTTTCATCTTTTCTGCTTTGGAATCTTCGCTGGATGGATGGGAAGGGAGGGGGGAGAAGCAGGTGTTAAAAAGTCTTTCAGTGTCAGTACGGGATATGTGATTTAATGGTTTTAAAGGACACTGTGTCCTCTTTCTCTCTGGTTGGGGTACATTACAGCCAGGTATTACTTGCTTGTCAAATACCCTTTCGTTTCATCTCTCTCCATGCACAGTTTCTCCTAGGTTACAGGGTCATGTTTTTGTGTGTCACAATTGAGTCCTAGTTGCCCGTGTTGCTACCTGTATCATTGGCATGGAGCTTGTTTATTAAAGGTCAACAGTCTTTCTGTTATTTCTACATGCCAGGAGAGGCACCTCATGGTCATCCCATATGCTCCTAAGAGAAGGTTGAGGAGGTGCAAATAGGCACAATGAAATTTGACTGGATGTGACAGGTATAAGATATGGGGAGAAAATGCTTTAGGTGACAGGGACTTTCAGTGGAGAGAGCTGTAAAGATAGGGAATGATTTGAGCATGTTCACATTGACAAACAAAACAAAACAAAACAAAAACAAGTAGGGAGGGAAACTTTGAAGCTATTTGCAAAAGGGCATGGTTTAGAGGGGACAAGGGAAAACAATCCAGCTCTGAGTTGGGATTAATAGACAGGCAAGAAGAATATCAACATTACGAGGTGGGTGAGGCAAGAGAAGCTCCCAAAGTAGACTGAGGAAGAGAGCCAGGACCCAGGAAGGGAACATGTTACAGAAGACCTGTTTAGTACAAGGGATGGGATGGACAAAGAGGTCCAGTGTCAAATGTTACTGACAGTGCAGTTAAATTAGGACTAAAACTTGTTTGAATTTAGCGAAAAGAAAGGCCGTGTTAGCAATTTAGGTGAATTGGAAAGAGTGGAAATGTCAGAAGTGATTTAGACAAGAAGAAATAGTTCACTAAGTTTGGCCATGAAGATGAGGAGAGTGAGAAGGTAGTAACTGGAGGGAGCTCTGGTCCAGGTAAGTTATTTTTAATGTAGGGCCTTAAATCAATTTAAACAAAATGACAGTTTTCCATAAAGAAAGGAACAGAGCTGCAGAAGACAGGAACTCCTCCAAAGAGCAAATTTCCTGAGTGGAAAGGAGATGAGATCCAGCACTCAGGAAGTGAGATAGCCCTAGATAGGACCAGGGGCCTTTCATTCATTGAACTGGGGCTAAGGTGGGAGGATGGTAGTGGAAGTGTGAGGCTCTGAATCAGGGGAAAATAATGGGAATAAATTATTCACAGTAGGATTCTGAGAGCATTTGACTTCTTAGGAGTAACACTGGCTGTTGAATGAGAGAAACTGACAGAAGTGTAGTGTAGCCTGGTGTTGAGTTTAGGAGTGTGTTATCTTTATGTGTGTGCTTAGTAAACTCAGAAAACCCAGTCTTTTCCCTTCAGTAACCTCACTCAAACAGTCATCTGCTTGACTCTCAGTATAACCAGGGAGGTCCCATCATTGCTGTGCAAGTCGAGAATGAATACGGTTCATATAATCTGGATAAGAAATACATGTCATATGTAGAAAAGGTAAGTGCTGGTTTAATTTTTCTCCATATTTACATTTTTTTTTCACTTTGTTACTTTGTGAAGCAAATGTATCCTAAGTCCCTGTATCTTCCATGGAACAATGAGATACGAAGATAAGGTTCGGTTTCATTTCTGATTGTCATTTATATTCTAAAGAGAGGCTGGAACCAGCCCAATTAACTCTAATGCAAGGCAAAAAGTGATGTTAAGATCTTTCCTTTCTGTGGTATCAGAGCTCTCTTTTGGTTGATGTTTGTCTAATGTAAAATTTTCTCTCCTTTTACTCCCAGCTTTCCTATATCCATCAATTTCGGGTACATATATTATGAGTAGTATATAGAAATTATTTTGTTAATTTATTATAAAAACTCTTGTTTTATAAATGAGGAATTTGGTTTGTTTGCATTTAGTGTAATTGCTGATATATTTGCACTTAAATCTGTCATTTGTTATTTTTCTGTTTTTCTACATGTTCTGTGGTTCCTTTTTCCTCTTTTTGTTCTTTTGGATCGACTATTTTTTTCCTCTCCTTTTATTTTATCATTTTTACATTTACTTACATGTATATACATTGTTTGTGCCACCTCCCCCCTACTCCTCTCCTCTCCTCCCTGCTTCCACGCAGAACCAGTTCCACCCTCTTCTCCTATTTTGTTGAAGAGAAAACATAAGAGATAATAAGAAAGACATGGGGTTTTTGCTAGTTTGGGATAAAGACAGCTATACAGAGAGATTCCTAGCATTGCTTCATGCACTTGTGTATTACAACCTACATTGGCTCATTTCTACCAGATCTCTTCACTACTTCTTGGTCCCCTTCCCATAGAGGCCTCTGCCAATTTAAGATTACTTTACTTGCTCCTCAACAGGGAGCACATCAACCACATTCAAGTTTCAGGTTTCCTTTCCTTTCTATATTTCTCCCATGTGTGTTCTCCCCTTAGTGTGTGACTCATGTCCAATAATATTACTGTATTTGTTTTAGGTTTATAATCTGCATATGAGGGAGAACATGTGATTTTTGGCTTTCTGAGCCTGGCTAGCTTCACTTAAAATGATGGTCTCTAGTTCCATCCATTTACTTGTGATTGACAAAATTTCACTCTTCTTTGTGGCTGAGTAAAATTCCATTGTGTATAAACACCACATTTTCTCCATCCATTTGTTGGTTGTGGGGCATCTTGGCTGTTTCCATAGCTTGGCTATTGTGAATAGTGCTACAATAAACATGGGTGTGCAGGTGCTTTTGTAATAACTTGAGTTGCATCCCCTCGGGTATATCCCTAGGAGTGGGATTGCTGGATCATATGGCAGATCTATGTTTAGTTTTTTAAGAAGCCTCCATATTGTTTTCCAGAGTGGTTGCACTAGCTTACATTCCCCACAGCAGTGTATGAGGGTTCCTTTTCCCCCACATTCTCGCCAGCATTTGTTGTTGGTGGTGTTCTTGGTGGTGGCTATTCTAACAGGAGTGAGGTGGAATCTTAGTATGGTTTTGATTTGCATTTTCTTTATGGCCAGGGATGGTGAGCATTTTTTCATGTGTTTTTTTGGCCATTTGGATTTCTTCCTTAGAAAAAGTTCTGTTTAGTTCAGATGCCCATTTCTTTATTGGTTCATTGATTTTTGGGGAGTTTAGTTTTTTGAGCTCTCTGTACATTCTGGTTATCAGTTCTTTGATGTATAGCTAGCAAATATGTGGGTTGTCTTTTCAATTTAGAGACCATTGTTTTTGTTGTGCAGAAGCTTTTTAATTTCATGTAGTCCCATTTGTCCGTCGTTTCTCTTAGTTGCTGAGCTGATGGAGCTCTACTGAGGAGGTCCTTGCCTGTACCTATTGCTTCCAGAGTATTCCCTGCTCTTCCATGTACTAACTGGAAGGTTTTGGATGTGATATTAAGGCCCTTAATCCACTTTGAACTGATACTGGTACAGGATGACAGGCATAGATTTAGTTTCAGTTTTCTGCAGGCAGATAGCTATTTTCCCATCACTATTTGTGGAAGAGGCTGTCTTTTCTCCATCATATGTTTTTGGCGCCTTTTTCAAAAATAAGGTGGGCACAGTTGTGTGGCTTCATATCCGGGTCCTCTATTCTGTTCCACTGGTCTTCATATCTGTTTTTGTGCCAGTACCATGCTGTTTTTATTGCTATGGCTCTGTAATATAGTTTGAAGTCGGGTATTGTGATACCTCCAGCGTTGCTCTTTTTGCTGAGTATTGCCTTGGCTATTCGCAGTCTCTTGTGTTTCCAAATGAACTTTGGGGTAGATTTTTCAGTCTCTGTCATGAATGTCATTGGAATTTTGATGGGAATTGCATTGAACATGTAGATTGCTTTTGGTAGTGTAGCCATTTTTACTATGTTGATTCTACCAATCCATGAGCATGGGAGATCTTTCCATCTTCTGTAGTCTTTCTCCTGGATCGACTATTTTTTAAAATTATTTCTTCTTCTCCTCTACTAGATTGATAAACATTTTTAACCATCCTTTTAGTTTAGTTTTTCATACAGATTAAATTTTCATCCCTGAATTATTAGCATCTATGTTGATAGGTTTGGCAATTTCAGGGGATAGTGAACTCTTTAGAATAGTTTACATGCATTTTCTCCCTGTCAACTTAGGTACCATTGTCATTTGTTTTAATGTTATGTACATTTTTTATTCATAAGACACTATTATTTTTATTATGTAGAGTAGTCATTTAGATTTTTTTTGTGGTGCTGGCTGTGGAACCAGCGTCTCACACATACTAGGCAAGCACTCTACCATTGAGCCATACCCTCAGTCTAATAATTTACTTTTTGTCGCTCTTTTCCCCCATATCTGTAAACTTTCATTTCTCTTATTACTTCTCACCTTTAATATTTTCTTGGTTGCAGGTGTGCTGGTAACAAACTCTTTTACCTTTTATTGGTCTGAAAATATGTCTAGTTTACCATTATTTTTGAAGGATATTCATTATTTGTAGCGTCCTAGGTTGCAGTTACTTTCTGTGACTATTCTTCTAGCATCCACTGTTTCTGTTAAGAAGTCATGTACTGCTGATGGTGGTACATGTCTGTAATCCCAGCCCTTGGGAAGCTGAGGCAGGAGGAACATGAGTTCCGGGCCAACCTGTGGTAAGTAGCAAGATGCTGTCTCAAAACAAACAGAAAAGTCACGTATCAATATAATTATTGTTCCTTTGAAGATAAAATTTTCCTTTTCTTCTGGCTGCTCTTATTTTTTTATTTATTTGTGGCAGTACCAGGGGTTGGACCCAAGGCCTCATGCTTGCTCGGCAGGTGCTCCACCACTTGAGTCACAGTACCAACACTTTCTCTAATTCTTTTTTTCTTTTTGGCTGTCTTGGGGTTTTTGAACTCAGGGCCTTGTACCTCCTAGGCAGGTGCTCTTTCACTTGAGCCACATCTCCAGCTCTTTTTTGCTTTATAGCTATTTTTCAGGTCATGTGTTTGCCTGGGACCAGCAGCAGACCTTGATCCTCCCATCTGTGCCTCTTGCCTAGCTGGAATCGTAGGCGAGCACCACTATGCCCAGCTTGTTTGTTTAAATGCAGCCTTGCTAAGTTTCTCCCTGTGCTGGCCTTGAACCTGGATCCTCCTGATCTTCACCTCTCAGAAAACTGGGATTACAGGTGTGAGCCATCAAGCCCATCCTAGATGTGTTTTTCTTTTTGCTTATCCAGCTTGCATGTTTTGTATCATTAATCCATTTGTGATTTGAGGTCCTTAATCCATTTGGAAAATTCTCAACATTTATGTGCTCTGTTTTCATTCTTCTCAGGTATTTCAATTATACAAATGTTAGATGTTTTCATCCATATTCCACATATCTACCATTCTCTTTGCATAATTTCTTTCTTTCTTTTTTTTTTTGCACCGGAGTTTGAATTTAGGACCTAGGGGTTTGAAGACAGAGCCTCCTGCTTGCTAGGCAAGTGTTCTACCATGTGAGCCACATCCCCGGACTGAATAATTTCTTCTAAGTGATCTTTCCTTTTTTTTCTTCTTGTACTCTTCGTCTTCTGCCCCTCCTCCTTCCCCTTCTTGAATTTATAATCTTCCTGCCTCACCCTCCTAAATGCTGGGATTTCAGTCATGCTCCACCATGTACAGCTTCTAAACTGTCTTTTGCCTATTTGATGTTAAACTCTTCCTATTAAGTTTCAAATTCCAAGTATTTTAAAACTTGATTTTAAAATTTTTATTTGATCCCTTGTTTCTATTTCTCTTTAATTCTTTGAGCATATTAATTATATCTTGCTCAAAATCTATGCCTAATAAACCTAATATCTGATCTTCTGGGGATCTGTTTCTGTAGTGATTTTTCTCATGGTTTCTTTAAAGTATTCTTTTATGCTATGCCTAATCATTTTTTATTCAATGTCAGATATTTATTTATGAGAACATTGGGATCTTCTGAGGTTTTTAGTCATCTCCCACATGGATTTATTTTTGCTTCTGCAGGCATTTATAATGTCTTGAAACTGAGCCTCTATTCCTTGTGAGAGCTATTTTAATTCTTACTCTTCTTTCTAGAGGTTGCCATTTAGGTACTCACTGAAAGCCTAGGGTTTGTCATATCCCTTCTCTGGGGTAGTCATCAAACTGTGCTTCCTTTTCCCAAATGATATAAAACTGCTGGCAGCCTGTTTAGCTTCTCAGATCTTGGCTAATCTTTTGGGCATCAGCTACTGTTCCCTGGGAAAAGCAGTGCCACATACCAGCTTCCCTTCCTCTCTGGACCTGGGTTCTTCAAGTTCTACCTTATGTATTCTATATCTCTGAATAAGTATTTAATCTAGTTTGGTTAGTTGTGATCACTGGCATAAAAACAGTCCAAAGAATCTGTTTCTATCCACGTGAGTTATGAATCATACATTTCCTCCCCTTCCCCAATGAAGCCCTGACAACACAATAAGAACATCTCAAATATCAACAAGATATTTGACCCCTAAAGTGACAGAATTTTAGGGTTTTTCTTCATATTTTAGCTGTGTGTTGGTGTCATGGGGGAATTCATTTCTCTTTTTGTTTTATCTGTGTAACTTTGTAGGTGAACCATACATCTTGGCTTGTTTGGGACATTCCCAAACAAGAATAATTATTACCATCTTCTTTCATTCTCAAGTCTTCTAGTTTGGATATGTTATATAGTCACCTGCCAATAAGCCATGTCACTCATCTACTTCATAGATGAAGTACTATTCTCACAGGACCTACAGAGATGGGCTGGGGTGACACTGACTCATAGGACATTCTGGCTCTTCTCATGGAGTCACTTCTTGCCTCCCCTAGTTTTCACAAACCATCTCCTGATACCCAGCAAAAGGCTCAAGGGTTAGTTGCAAGAATACTTTCACTTTCGTGGTATTTTGATCCAAAAGACCCAGTAGGGGATAAGTGTGACTTCTTTTAGTCCCCGTGACCACAGTTTCAGTGTTTTATCCCTTAGTTAGATAAACCCCTTGGTCTCTTCCTTCTGTTTTTGATTTAGAATTTCCCTTGATTTATTTCTAGTTGAAGTAGGAACATCTAAGGCTCATGTAGCAAATAGTGTGCCAGTGGCTGGACTAAGACATAACTCGTTTGCCTTTGCCATTGACTGAAAGGAAGTCATCTGTAGTATGTGGGTTTATGTCCTGTAAATTTGGCCTGTGGGGTTTGTTTCATTTGGGTGACAGGGAGGATGAGAGTATTCGTCTTAAGTTCTGTGCCACACAGGAGAAGCCCCAGAATTCAGGTCCTCAGGGGAAAGCACTGTAAGTGCACATAGTCCAATTGCCTCTTCTACAAGGTTTGGGATTTGCAATGTTTCTTTGGCTTTGCTCAGTGTGACCAAGGCAAGGATGGTATTTGCTTCTTAACCTCCTAACTTACAAGCAGTTTAATGGGGAATTAGACCTTCCTCTCCATGCTTCAGCTTCATTCTACCATTTTTATTACCATAAATTTTTTTTCCAGACAGAAGCAATCCCATGGGACCAGGGATAGTCTATTTACCTTACAGAATTTCTCCCTAGGCCCTGGTGACAAGAGGTATCTCGGTGCTGCTCATGACTGCAGATAACGGACTTGAACTGAGAAACGGCAACTTAAAAAATGGTACAGTTTTGCTTTTGCCTTCTTTTCTGCACTAGTCAAGTCTGCAACAGCATGAGTCCTTCTCTACCATGGATGAGGCTTCATGGTGCAGGGACTTGTGGGCAAAGTGAGTTAGGAAGCTGGACCACACTTTGTTGCCCCACAAGCTGTTACCCTCACAGCACTGGCAGTGCAGAACACTTACTCCATCTCCTCAACCCCTGCATGTCCCAGAGAGGGTCCTGGCTGAGCCCAGTGGTCTGATTGAGCAGCAGAGAGTAGATGAGTATTGAAGTAGTACCACTATGGACCAGCCCTGGGGTCCTGGGAATGTAGGCAGTAGGGGGATAGGGGTATAGCTAAGTGGTAGAGCACTTGCTTAATTTGCATGAGACTCTGAGTTCTACCTCCAGCACTGCAAAAAACAAAGCAGGCAAAATAGTGGGGAAATACAGAATAGGTTTACAAGGAGGAAGCGAGCTGATTAGAAAGAAAATGGATGAAGGTAACATGCAGACAAGTGGAGACAGAAAAGGCCTGAGATGAGGCTCAGTGGTAGAGTGTATGCCTAGAATGTTTGAGGCTCTGGGAGTCCAATCTTCTGCACCACAGAGAATAAATAAGTGATTAAATAAATAAACAAATAAAATAAATATGTTTTCTCGAATTTTTTATCCAAGCTATTGTGTTAGGTACTTTCCCTCCTATCCATCTTCTTCTCTCGCACATTTTGGTGGCCCTTCCCTGTCTTATGTAAGTGGGAGAGTTAGAGCAGTGTTGTGACTTAGAAGTCAGGGATGTAGCTCAGTAGTGGAGCATATGTACCTAGCATCAGTGAGACCCTAGAGTCAAGTTCTAGGCAATTCACCTCTCTGGGCCAGTTCCTTCATATGGCTTCAACTGTTCACCAGGGTCATGTCCATTTTGCTTTCTGGGTCATTGACTATAAATGATAAATAAAGGGATGTATTTGAAAGCCTTTTATATATTGCAGATGTGGATTAAAGTGTAGGATCACATCTTTATTGTTAGCCACATGTTGCGTTAGAGTGAGATGTCTGAGAGGTGAGTGTGCTGAAGGAATGGGCCCTAGCTCTGCAGTCTTGGAGTGTGTGACTTCTGCCCTGTGTACTCATGGCAGGACCTCATGCAGTTTTCTTCTCTCTCTCTTCAGTGCTGGCCACTGTCCACATGAAGAATATAAAGAAAAAAACTTATCAGGATCTTCTTTCAATTCAGGTAAGGACATTTCAGAGATGGGAGATACGTTGATTCTTGCCCGTGCCAGGACTTCTTAGCTCATTTGTGGAAGATTCTCAGTAGTGATTAGTTCTGCTAATACTAGAATCTATTGTGCCCTTAAATGCTGGTTCTAGGTGGGTGAAGGTCCAACTAAATTAAATTCACACACCTACGTGTATGGTCCTTACCTCACAGCATTAGAGTCCACTGTAATTTGTATTCAGTGCATTTCTTTAAAAAAATTTTTTAAACTTATTTAAAAAAATAAATTTTTTTAAATACAATTTAAAACCTCATGCTTGCTAGGCAGGCATTCAACTACTTGAGCCACTCCACCAGCCCTTCAGTGCATTTCTTATACTCGACCAAGAGAGAGCAACATGAAAAAAATACTATTCTTTCAATAGATGTTGTAATGTCAACTGAAGATAGGCAGAAAGCAGAGCTTTTGAGCCCCTGATTTTTTGGTATGTTTTCTATCAGTGAGAATCCTCTCTAACACATGTAATTGAGGGGAGCTAAAACTTGAGCTAGTTGAGAAGTTAGATGTTTCAAATTTAGAAATTGAAATTAACACTTTTTTGACTATTTTTTTGGCTAGGATCTTAGTACATACTGATGATCGAACAGATGTGCTTCTCACCCTTGGAGAGGCTATGTCTAGGTGTGTCCATGGTGCAGAGGGGCCCTGCTATTGCCTTTGTTCTGATTCGTATCCTCTTGAGAAAAGATACACAAGTTGTGCTTTTTAAGCATCCAGATAAAACTGTTGAAAAGAATGGGATCTTCTAGATTCCACTAGGCTAAACTCAACAGGGAGTAATTAATTGTACAGTCTCTGCACTAAAATTATAATCAAAACAGCTATTTGGGAGCCAGAGATTGGGAGGATCACAGTTTAAGGCCAGGTCAGTCTGGCCAAAAAGTTAGCGAAACCCCTATCTCAGTCAAGAAGCTGGTTGTGGTGGTGTACACTTGTGATCCCAGATATGCTGGAGGTAAAGGCAGGATGATTGTGGTCAAGACCTGTCTGGGCAAAAATGTGAGATCCTATCAGAAAAATAGCCACAGCAAAAAAAAAAAAAAATGACTGGGGACATGACTCAAGTGAATTCATTCTCCATTACACAAATAAATAAATAAAAACAAAATCAGCAAAGCTCCAGGGTCAAAATACAGAAAGGAGGAGATTAGCTTGACAGCATGTTACATGAAAGAGCCTTTCAAAATGAGTTGACCTCATGCCTTACCTAATTCAAATCTAACATATCCACTGCCAGTGGCTTTGAAAAGCTGAGTTTTATTGGTAGGAATGACATCATTACATTTCTCCATCCTGGTAAGAACACACTGAAGTGTTCCAGTTTTTTGTTTGTGTTTTCTGCTCAGATCATTATGTTTTAGGTGGTATTTTAACAAAGCGGAATACTTACAGCAAATACGGTTTAAGGGTTATGCAAAAATAAACAAAAAGAACCAGAAGTGAGTCTCATATTAAAGATTAGACTCACTTGAAGGCGTCTTCAAAATTTTATAGTATTTTCATATGAAAAGGAAATTCTTTTAAGTACCAGAGAACGCAATGTCAATGCATAAAAGTTAATAAGAAAACATATATTTTTTTGGCTCATTTTAAGTACTTTAATTTCTAACAACCTGATTTCTCCAAAAACGGAAGGAGCTATCCTCATTGGCAGTGAACTCTTTATCACACAGAAATGAAGGGTGGCTATAATATTGCCTGTGTGTGGTCCAGTATTTAGAGATGGGAGTGCCTACATGAGGGGGAAGTAATATACTAGAAACCTCAAATCTAAAAGTTCTTCTATTATAAAAACCTATGAGTCTTAGTCTGTTTGGGCAACTATCACAAAATACTATTTTGATGTTTCAGTAGCTTACAAACAACAGAAACTTATTTCTCACAGCTTTAGGGGTTGGGATGCCCAAGATCAAGGTGCTGACAGATTTGGTTTCTGGTGAAAGCCCATCACCCAGTTCATAGATGGCACCTGTCCTCATATGGTGGGAGGGACAAGGCATCTCTCTGGGACTTCTTTTTTATAAGGGCACACTATTCCCATTCATGAGGGCTCCACCAGTATGACCTAATCACCTGCTTAGGGCCATATCTTGGGGGTGAGCATTTCATCAAGTGAATTGGGAGGGGGCAAACATTCAGATACAGCACTATGATTCTGGGATTCTGTGACACTGAGGAAGTTATAGGAGATTGGACCACCTGGCTTCAGTTTAATTAACTTTATTTTACATATTTCTTGGTGGTCCAGGGGTTTAACTTTAAAAGATAAAGAACATAATTTTTGGAATTCAATAAGGGTTTAAAAAATTTAAATATAGGAATAAAGTTTTAAAAAATTTAAATATAGGAATTTCCAGGCAGAAATGTAAGTAAAATCAACCACATGGATAAGGTTGGCAGTGTATAACTTTCTTGGAAGCATTTGGCCATTAGCAGAAATTGAAAGGATGGATTAGCTTTGTAGTGCTAGAGGAAGAAGAACTGAAAGGACCAACTGCAGAGTCCAGCCTGAACAGGGAGGCTAGTACATTCCCATAGTTCAGAATGATGGAGGAACTAGAAGTGACTCAGAAATGGCAAAGGGAAGAGTGAGCACTAAAGGATGTGTGAAAATTCTGGATTTGGGAAAATCTTTAATGGAATCGAACATTTGGAGAATTCATTTGTTGAACATTTTTAGTGCTTTCTTTGTATCAGCCATTTCTTTACTAGAACTCCATTCTGGTCACTCAAGAGAGTGAAAAGATTCCATTTCTAGAAGTTTCCAGATTCTAGTTCTAGAACGTTCTAGAAAAGGAAACAATGAAATGTCAGTTGATTCTTACCAGGGAATGGTCAAGAAGACCTGTGAAACCACACAAGGAAAAACAAGGCCAGGAAGATGACGAGAGATGGGAGAGTGGAACTCACAGTTTGTAAGCAGTGGTTACGCTTGAGTTGCACAGTGATGTATGAGAACTGAACTAAATTTATAGTTCTCTTATAAGCAAGTTGTAGCTTATGAGTTGCATAAAAATTGATAAATTAACACTTGTTTCCCTCCACACTGTCAGGGTCAGAGCCCTATACTGATGATGGTGTATACAGCGAACTCTTTTGATACATGGGGTGCCCTCCGCCGCTCTCTGGATCCACATCGTGAGTTCTTAGTTGTTTGCTTGGGAGAACACATGACACAGTGGAACTGGCCTGTCTTTTTTCTGCTGATGCGTGATTCAGTAAGAAGTTTCCCAGGTGTGACAGCTGTATAAACAGCAGTGTGATTAAGTAGACACCTCACAGTCATCTATGCAGGTAAAGTGACTGTAGAGATCCCTGTAACTGAAATTTAAGTTTTAGCAGTTTCTATACTAATTATATTTTATTGAGGTTATACAAGTAATAGAATGAATTGCTCTGAAAAATAAGGGAATGCAATGAAGGTGTGTTGATTGGGAGTAGAAAATTATCTGGACCCAAATTACCTGCTCTTAATTTTCCAGTCCTTCCTAGAGAATTGATAATAGTCATTAAAATGGAGTTGAAAGTGGAATGTTCCTAGTGCCATAATTTCAGGTCAGTAACTGTCAGAAGTTAGTAAATGCTTAGAAACACTAAGCTGAAAAAAAAAAGAAACACTAAGCTGAACATACATGTGTCTAAGACAAAAGGGCACAAGCAAATATTTGATATGTGAAATTTATATAATAGAAAAAAAATCCACCCAAATATGAAAGTCAGAGGAAAAAGTAATAAATGACTTTGAGCCATGGAAAAGAACCTGGGAATAATTCCATCAATACTTCCCATCAATTCCAGCTCATGTTGTTTTCTGAGCATGAGATCTTGGTGGAGCTTGAAGATTTTGGGTATAGGTGGTTTAAAAATCCATGAGAGGCTATGAATTCTTTCAAGCTATAACTCTCCTATCTCTCCTGCCTCTATGCAGTGCTGATGAAGGATGTGCGTGAGCTAGTCAAGCTTCGGTTCTCCCTCAACTTCTATATGTTCCACGGTGGCACCAACTTTGGCTTCATAGGTGGAGCTGAGTCTCTGAATGGTTACCATTCTGTAGTCACCAACTATGGCAAGTACTTGACCCCAAGAACTATTTTTAACCTAGACCACCTTAGAGAGACTGAAGCATCTTAGGATGACCCCTGAGGATGATCTCCGAAAACATTCATCTGATCTGCCATTAAAATGTGCTAGGAATTGATAAGATTTGATTCATTCTTGACAGTGTTATTTATTTATTTATTTATTGCTGTACTACTGGAAATTGAACTCAGCACCTCACACTTGGCTTGGCAAGTGCTCTAGCACTGGAGCCATGCCCTCAGCCCAACAGTGCTAGAGCTTATCCAACACTGGGATCTAGGCTTTCTGGGACATTGTAAGCAGAGAAGATAGCAGGTTGGTTAATCTTGTTCATCTGTTGCACAGACGATTGTCTTGGTTTGCTGATAGCACCAGGGTATCCTTTTGTCTTCCTCAGTCCACAAGTCTATTAAGTGGGAAGTCAAAGGTGAAAGGAAGCAAGGAGTTCACTTAACAATTGGATAAGGAGGAGAAACCACTGTATTAGAGAGTCTCAGGCTCTCAGCCAGAGATTATTAGAGATCCAGGTATTGGTGCAATTTGTCTCCTGTGAAAAGGCTTGCAAAGCTGGGCAGACATCTCTTACTTTGGACTAATGGATATGGAATTTTCTTATCCAATGCCAATTTTTTCCTCCCAAAGCTGCTGTATTAAGGGTCTTTTTGCTCAGTACTAAGATCCTCTTTTTTCCAGGGGCTTTCTTGGGGGAAAATAATACATTTCTATATTTTTGCAGACTATGGTGCACTGCTGACAGAAGCCGGAGAATACACGCCTGAGTATTTTGTATTTCAAGAGTTTTTTCACTCTGTTCTAGGTACCTACCAACAATCCCAATCTGAATGGTGACTCAGCCTTCTCTGCTTGTCTCTGTGCTGTGAGGAAGGGAGTGAGGAAGTAGATGGAGCTGTATTTGGGGAGAAATCAGTTCATTCCAGTTCATTTTATCAGTAGGCACTGGGGATTTGCACAAGATACAGGGTCTGCTCTCCAGGTGCTCAGCAAAAGACCATGTTGCCTGTGTATGGAATCCTTTGTAGAACTTCCAGGTCCTTCACAGGGTTATTAGATAGGTATGTCCTGGTTGAAGTGGGGAGGGAGAGTAGGATCTGAAGCATGTATATTTCCCCCTGGGCTTACTGAGATTCAGATGGGCAGCCGGGTTGAGAGCTGCTGGTCCAGCAGGTGGCGACAAGTTGCCTCTCTTTCTAGGATGGCAAGGCACCTGCCTTAGAGCTTGTGGGTCTGTGAGGACCCTTGCTCACTCAGCACCTGCCTGGACTCTTCCTGGAGTTAGCAAGTCGGGCCTTGTCACTGGATCCTTCATAGTTGGTAGCTCTGGGATAACAGGATACCTGGTTGGAGCAGATTCTAGGATTGCCCAACCATGTGCTTCTCATTGCAGACCTTCCCACACCCCTTAAAGGAAAATATACCGCAAAGGCTATCTATAAGACGGTGACACTATTACAGTACGTGTCGCTGTGGGAAATTCTGCCCTACCTGGACAAGGTAAGCACTTCCTGGGCATAGACACATGGGACTGCTTTGAGCAAAGAGAGGAGTGAAAGGCTTAGCTCAGAGAACAGGGAATTATTAGATTAGGGAACAAAAAGAATCCTTAGAAGTACTCGTTCTTTCAGCTTTACAGTTCAGAATAAGAAACCTAGAATAAGAATTCAGATTAGACAGCCAGGCGTGGTGGTGCACATATGTAATGCCAACATTTGGGAGGCTGAGATGAACAGGATTGTGAATTTGAGGCCACCCTGGGCTCCATTGTTCTCAAAGATCAACAACAACAACAAAATGAGGAGACGGAGAGAGAAGAGGAGGAAGAAGCAAAATAAGAAAACTTAGATTAGAAATTTGAGTGAAAACAGTCTCAGCCAGGACCCAGCTGTGAAGGGGTTTTCTGCTCTTGGAAAATGGTTAAGAAGGAAGGTACTCTACCTGGATCTAGGGCAGTGATTTCAAACTTTTACTGGAGAGACTCTTTTATTGTGAGGTTCAGTACATAAGATGTAAGCTAGGTGAGCTGGGGTGGTGGTGCTATAGCACTGTACTTTCCTCCTCCCTAAGGGTCAGCCCTCTCCCTTCTCTTAGCCTCATAGGGTTCCAGGGAACACAATTTTAAAACCACTCTCCTGGGGAGAAACTGTATGTTTATACCTGTAGTACTCACTGAATATTACTGTTTTGTAAATGGTACTATCAAATACTGTTTTAGACAACTCCCAGAGGTTGGAGGGTCACAGGTCATGTGGTAGAGAAACTGAGGCAGCTTGTGGTCAAGGACTACCCTATTATGCTGAAGGGCACAGTTCTGGAGTCAGACATGTGGGTTTGCGTCCTCTGCACTGAGTCTGAGGACGGTCAGTCAGCCTTACCCGGTCTTAGTGCTCTCATCTGTAGAGTGAGGCTCAGAGGTGGTGTGCAGATCAGTTAATATCTGGCATGGACAATACTAACCTGCTAAATATATTCTGGCTGTCGTTTTGTATTATAGAGACACAGTCTGCTGGACTGTGGAATAGTGCCATGTTTTCTAAATTTTCCTGTGGGTTTTTTTGTTGTAGTTATTTTTGTGGTGCTGGGGTTGGAATCCCGGGGTCTTGTACATTCTAGGCAAGTGTGCTATTACTGAGCCATAACTCCAGGCCCTTGTGGAGTTTTATTTTTTTTTTATTTTTGGGCAGACTGGGAGTTGAACTTAGGGCCTCATGCTTGCTAGGCAGGCAGTCTGTCACTTCTAAAGGAGATAATGACTGGTTGACATGGGACATAGAGGGAGAGGGAGAGGAAGAGAAAGAGGACACTCTCCATGCTTTCTTCCTTTTTGTCTGGATGAATGCAAAACAGGCATTAACTTCTTCATTCTGCAGAATAATCAAGACTCTGCTGTCACCCACTTTTCTTAAAGGAAAAAGAGTGGGCTGGAGTTGTGTGTGGTGTGTATAGTTTGGGCGATGCTGCAGTGGAAATGTCTGTGGACCTCCAGAGGGAGAGGTTCAGTAGATAGAGTAGGCAGTCATGGAGGGCTCTCGCCCAGTGCTATAACGCAGGTGTATGATGGAGTGTGTCCAGTAGCTGCTAGAATCCTCGCCTAGGATGATCTCTCCCAAGGAGTGTAAAAAGGAAAAGAAGAGAAGGCCAACAATAGGCAGAATTTGGTATGGCTGGGTTGGAATTCCTGAGATCAGGAGTCTAGGAGTCTTATCTCTACCATGAGTTGATGAGCACAGCCCACAAATGATTCTTTTTTGTGTGTGTGCATTTGTGTCCCGAGTACTGGGATTATAAGCGTGTACCACCATACCTGACTCTTTTCTGGATTTCAACTTCACCATCTAAAATATAAGAACACCTTACTGGCTAGCATATGCAGAGAAATATGAGGTTGGCTTAGAAAACAAAAGGGATAATTTTTTTTTGTTTTTGTTTTCTCTTTGTTGTTTTTTTGAGACAGAATCTCCCTATGCAGCCCAGGCTGGCCTCCTGTCTCAGCCTTCTGAAGGATAGGATTATAGGAGAAGGCCAGCATGCCTGGCTGAAAAAAGACAATGTCTATGCCATGCTTAGGCATGACAACCCTTGCATGTAGCCTTTGACACTCCTGTGTATAGACTGGGGGTAGGTAGTGGGTCATTCCTCTGGAGAAGTGGGCTTTGGCAGGTAGCACTTTCTGAGATTCTTCTGTCTAGCCTGAACCTCCTGCCTGGTTTTTGCTTCTGTCTGTACCACAGCCAACCAAGTCTGCCAGGCCAGTCTCCATGGAGCAGCTGCCTGTGAATCAAGGAAGTGGTCAGTCCTGTGGATACACACTTTATGAAACCACCATCTCCACTGCAGGCCTCCTCACCTCCAGGGGCCATGTTCGAGATCGGGGTGAGGTAGGGGACAATAAACAGGCCTGGAAGCACTTGTCTGTTACTTTTCCCCAACTGTACACTGAGGCGAATGTCTAAGCAATAGTCAAATCTTTTTGACCTTCAAAAAATGATCAGTGTTTCTTAACATCTGTCCCTTCAGTGGTCTTTCACTTATACGCTATTGCAGGTGTGCATCTGACATATTTAGACACCTCCATGAGTTTTATAGGAGGTGATGTATTTAAGATCTGGGAAGAGCTTAAGTAGTTCCTATACTTTCTGTGTATCAACCTGTAACATTTACATAGCATGTTAACAGTGGCTCTTTTCATTTCATTCTTAAAATCCCTATCTGAGACACTACACGCAGGGAGACCTCAGAGGAGTTAAATGCCTTTCAAATAATGTGCAGGTAGAAACCCACAGAGCAGAGGCCAAAAGCTTCATTTTGTGCCAAGTTATGAGCTCTTTCCTCTTAGCGTGGTGAGAGTTTCTTAGTCTTCATACTTTGCACATCTTCTTTCCATATCCTTTTTCAAGGCTTGGAAGAGGTTGGGCATCCTTAACCCAGAAATCTAAAAAATGAAATGACCCAAAATCCAAAACTTTCTGAGTGTCACTGTCATGCTCAAAAAGTTTCAGACTTCAAGCAGGGTGTGGTGGTTCACACCTGTAGTCTCAACTGCCTGGGTGCAAGAGATCAGAAGATTTCCAGTTTGACGGCAGACCCAGCAAAATGTTAGTGATACCCCATCTCAAATGCACGTCCGTAATCCTCACCATGCCAGAGACTATAGGTAGGAGGATTGTGGTCTGAGGCTGGCCCAGGCAAAAAAAACAAAAACAAAAACGGGAGACCCTAGATGGACATGGTGGCTCATGCCTGTCATCCTTGCTACTTGGGAGGGATAGATTGGAGGATTGCAGTTTGAGGCCTAGCCTGGTCAAAAAAGTTTGTGAGCCACCATCTCAACCAAATTTATCCTCAGCCTGTGTTCCATAGGCTTCTCAAACACGTCCGAAACCACACTCAGTTTCCTCAGTGAGCCTCATATTGGCTCACAGACTCAGCCTCCCACCTGTAAGTGCTACTCATATGCTCCCCTTACCTTTTCTTTTTTTTTTTCATTTTTCTTTTATTATTCATATGTGCATATAAGGATTGGTTCATTTCTCCCCACTGCCCCCACCCCCTCCCTTACCACCCACTCTGCCCCCTCCCTCTCCCCCCCTCAATACCCAGCAGAAACTATTTTGCCCTTATTTCTAATTTTGTTGAAGAGAGAGTATAAGCAATAATAGGAAGGAACAAGGGGTTTTGCTGGTTGAGATAAGGATAGCTATACAGGGCATTGACTCACATTGATTTCCTGTGTGTGGGTGTTACCTTCTAGGTTAATTCTTTTTGATCTAACCTTTTCTCTAGTACCTGTTCCCCTTTTCCTATTGGCCTCAGTTGCTTTAAGGTATCTGCTTTAGTTTCTCTGCGTTAAGGGCAACAAATGCTAGCTAGTTTTTTAGGTGTCTTACCTATCCTCACCCTCCCTTGTGTGCTCTCGCTTTTATCATGTGCTCATAGTCCAATCCCTTGTTGTGTTTGCCCTTGATCTAATGTCCACATATGAGGGAGAACATACGATTTTTGGTCTTTTGGCCAGGCTAACCTCACTCAGAATGATGTTCTCCAATTCCATCCATTTACCAGCGAATGATAACATTTCGTTCTTCTTCATGGCTGCATAAAATTCCATTGTGTATAGATACCACATTTTCTTAATCCATTCGTCAGTGCTGGGGCATCTTGGCTGTTTCCATAACTTGGCTATTGTGAATAGTGCGCAATAAACATGGGTGTGCAGGTGCCTCTGGAGTAACAGTCTTTTGGGTATATCCCCAAGAGTGGTATTGCTGGATCAAATGGTAGATCGATGTCCAGCTTTTTAAGTAGCCTCCAAATTTTTTTCCAGAGTGGTTGTACTAGTCTACATTCCCACCAACAGTGTAAGAGGGTTCCTTTTTCCCCGCATCCTCGCCAACACCTGTTGTTGGTGTTGCTGATGATGGCTATTCTAACAGGGGTGAGGTGGAATCTTAGTGTGGTTTTAATTTGCATTTCCTTTATTGCTAGAGATGGTGAGCATTTTTTCATGTGTTTTCTGGCCATTTGAATTTCTTCTTTTGAGAAAGTTCTGTTTAGTTCACTTGCCCATTTCTTTATTGGTTCATTAGTTTTGGGAGAATTTAGTTTTTTAAGTTCCCTGTATATTCTGGTTATCAGTCCTTTGTCTGATGTATAGTGGCAAATATTTTCTCCCACTCTGTGGGTGTTCTCTTCAGTTTAGAGACCATTTCTTTTGATGAACAGAAGCTTTTTAGTTTTATGAGGTCCCATTTATCTATGCTATCTCTTAGTTGCTGTGCTGCTGGGGTTTCATTGAGAAAGTTCTTACCTATACCTACTAACTCCAGAGTATTTCCTACTCTTTCTTGTATCAACTTAAGAGTTTGGGGTCTGATATTAAGATCCTTGATCCATTTTGAGTTAATCTTGGTATAGGGTGATATACATGGATCTAGTTTCAGTTTTTTGCAGACTGCTAACCAGTTTTCCCAGCAGTTTTTGTTGAAGAGGCTGCTATTTCTCCATCGTATATTTTTAGCTCCTTTGTCAAAGATAAGTTGCTTATAGTTGTGTGGCTTCATATCTGGGTCCTCTATTCTGTTCCACTGGTCTTCATGTCTGTTTTTGTGCCAGTACCATGCTGTTTTTATTGTTATTGCTTTGTAATATAGTTTGAAGTCAGGTATTGTGATACCTCCTGCATTGTTCTTTTGACTGAGTATTGCCTTGGCTATTCGTGGCCTCTTGTGTTTCCATATAAATTTAACAGTAGATTTTTCAATCTCTTTAATGAATGTCATTGGAATTTTGATGGGAATTGCATTAAACATGTAGATTACTTTTGGGAGTATCGACATTTTTACTATGTTGATTCTACCAATCCATGAGCATGGGAGATCTCTCCACTTTCTATAGTCTTCCTCAATCTCTTTCTTCAGAAGTGTATAGTTTTCCTTGTAGAGGTCTTTCACATCTTTTGTTAGGTTTACACCTAGGTATTTGATTTTTTTGAGGCTATTGTAAATGGAATTGTTTTCATACATTCTTTTTCAGTTTGCTCATTGTTAGTGTATAGAAATGCTAATGATTTTTCTATGTTGATTTTATATCCTGCTACCTTGCTATAGCTATTGATGATGTCTAGAAGCTTCTGAGTAGAGTTTTTTGGGTCTTTAAGGTATAGGATCATGTCGTCTGCAAATAGGGATATTTTGACAGTTTCTTTACCTATTTGTATTCCTTTTATTCCTTCTTCTTGCCTAATTGCTCTGGCTAGGAATTCCAGTACTATGTTGAATAGGAGTGGAGATAGTGGGCATCCTTGTCTGGTTCCTGATTTTAGAGGGAATGGTTTTAGTTTTTCTCCGTTAAGTATAATGCTGGCTGTAGGTTTGTCATATATAGCTTTTATAATGTTGAGGAACTTTCCTTCTATTCCTAGTTTTCTTAGAGCTTTTATCATGAAATGATGTTGGATCTTATCAAAGGCTTTTTCTGCATCTATTGAGATGATCAAGTGGTTTTTGTCTTTGCTTCTGTTAATGTGGTTTATTACGTTTATTGATTTTCGTATGTTGAACCACCCCTGCATCCCTGGGATGAAGCCTACTTGGTCGTGGTGAATAATCTTTTTGATGTGTTGCTGAATTCGGTTTGCCATTATTTTGTTGAGGATTTTTGCATCAATGTTCATTAAGGAGATTGGCCTATAGTTCTCCTTTTTGGAGGTGTCTTTGCCTGGTTTTGGGATAAGTGTAATACTGGCTTCATAAAATGTGTTTGGCAGTTTTCCTTCCCTTTCTATTTCATGGAACAGTTTAAGGAGGGTTGGTATCAGTTCTTCTTTAAAGGTCTGATAGAATTCAGCAGAGAATCCATCAGGTCCTGGACTTTTCTTTTTGGGGAGACTCTTGATTGCTGCTTCAATTTCATTTTGTGTTATAGGTCTATTCAGGTGATTAATTTCCTCTTGGTTCAGTTTTGGATGATCATATGTATCTAGAAATCTGTCCATTTCTTTAGATTTTCAAATTTATTTGAATATAGGTTCTCAAAGTAGTCTCTGATGATTTCCTGGACTTCCATGGTGTTTGTTGTTATCTCCCCTTTTGCATTCCTATTCTACTAATTTGGGTTTTTTCTCTCCTCATTTTAGTCAGGTTTGCCAGGGGTCTATCGATCTTGTTTATTTTTTCAAAGAACCAACTTTTTGTTTCATTAATTCTTTGTATGGTTTTTTTGGTTTCTATTTCGTTGATTTCAGCTCTTATTTTTATTATTTCTCTCCTTCTATTTGTTTTGGGATTTGCTTGTTCTTGTTTTTCTAGGAGTTTGAGATGTATCATTAGGTCATTGATTTGGGATCTTTCAATCTTTTTAATATATGCACTCATGGCTATAAACTTTCCTCTCAAGACTGCCTTAGCTGTGTCCCATAGGTTCCGGTAGGTTGTGTTTTCATTTTCATTGACTTCCAGGAACTTTTTAATTTCCTCTTTTATTGCATCGATGATCCATTCTTCATTAAGTAATGAGTTATTTAGTTTCCAGCTGTTTGCATGTTTTTTGTCTTTACTTTTGTTGTTGAGTTCTACTTTTACTGCATTGTGGTCAGATAGTATGCACGGTATTATTTCTATTTTCTTATATTTGCTGAGGCTTGCTTTGTGCCCTAGGATATGATCTATTTTGGAGAAGGTTCCATGGGCTGCTGAGAAGAATGTATATTGTGTAGAGTTGGATGAAATGTTCTGTAGACATCTACTAGGTCCATTGATCTATTGCATATTTTAGATCTTGGATTTCTTTATTGAGTTTTTGTTTGGATGACCTATCTATTGATGATAATGGGTGTTAAAGTCTCCCACAACCACTGTGTTGGCGTTTATATGCTTTTAGGTCTTTCAGGGTATGTTTGATGAAATTGGGTGCGTTGACATTGGGTGCGTACAGATTGATGATTATTATTTCCTTTTGGTCTATTTCCCCTTTTATTAGTATGGAATGTCCTTCTTTATCTCGTTTGATCAATGTAGGTTTGAAGTCTACTTTGTCAGAGATAAGTATTGCTACTCCTGCTTGTTTTCGGGGGCCATTGGCTTGGTAAATCTTCTTCCAGCCTTTCATCCTAAGCATATGCTTATTTCTGTCGGTGAGATGAGTCTCCTGTAAGCAACAAATTGTTGGATCTTCTTTTTTAATCCATTTTGTCAAACGGTGTCTTTTGATGGGTGAATTAAGTCCATTAACATTAAGTGTTAGTACTGATAGGTATGTGGTGATTCCTGCCATTTAGTTGTCTTAGTTGTTTGAAGGTTTGATTGTGTGTACCTAACTTGATGTTACTCTCTACTGTCTTGCTTTTTCTTATCCTGTGGTTTGGTGCTGCCTGCCTTTTCATGGTTAAGTTGGGTGTCACTTTCTGTGTGCAGGATCCCTTGCAGAATCTTTTGTAATGGTGGCTTTGTGGTCACATATTGTTTTAGTTTCTGCTTATCATGGAAGACTTTTATTGCTCCATCTATTTTGAATGATAGCTTTGCTGGGTAGAGTATCCTGGGTTGAAGTTATTTTCATTCAGTGCCCGGAAGATCTCACCCCACGCTCTTCTTGCTTTTAATGTTTCTGTTGAGAAGTCTGCTGTGATTTTGATGGGTTTACCTTTGTATGTTACTTGTTTTTTCTCTCTTACAGCCTTCAATATTCTTTCCTTAGTTTCTGAACTTGTTGTTTTAATGATGATATGTCGTGGGTAGTTCTATTTTGATCTGGTCTGTTTGGTGTCCTGGAGGCCTCTTGCATTGTATGGGAATATCTTTCTCTAGATTTGGGAAATTTTCCGTTATTATTTTGTTGAATATATTACGCATTCCCTTCGCTTGCACCTCTTCTCCTTCTTCGATGCCCATGATTCTCAAGTTTGGTCTTTTGATGGAGTCAGTGAGTTCTTGCATTTTCTTTTCACAGGTCTTGAGTTGTTTAATTAATAGTTCTTCGGTTTTTCCTTTAATTACCATTTCATCTTCAAGTTCTGAGATTCTGTCTTCTGTTTGTTCTATTCTGCTGGATTGGCCTTCCGTTTTGTTTTGCAGTTCTGTTTCGTTCTTTTTTCTGAGGTTTTCCATATCCTGGCGTTTTCTTCTTTATGTTGTCTATTTTTGTCCTGAGTTCATTTATCCATTTATTCATTGTGTTCTCTTTTCACTTTGGTGTTTATACAGTGCTTCTATGGTTTCCTTTATTTCTTCTTTTGCTTTTTCAAATTCTCTATTTTTTTGTCTTGGAATTTCTTGAGTGTCTCCTGTACATTTTGGTTGACCCTATCCAGTATCATCTCTATAAAATTCTCATTGAGTACTGTAGTATGTCTTCTTTTAAATTATTCTTGTGGGCTTCATTGGGTCCTTTGGCATAGTTTATCTTCATTTTGTTGGAGTCTGGATCTGAGTTTCTGTTCTCTTCATTCCCCTCTGGTTCCTGTACTAATTTTTTGCTGTGGGGAAACTGGTTTCCCTGTTTTTTCTGTCTTCCCGTCATTGTCCTTGGTGTTGTTACTGTCCCTGTACTGTGTGCAATTAAGTATTTTCTAGCTTGTAATAATAACAATGGTAATATTTAGAATGGAAGGTGAGCTGAGATGGAAAGCAAGAAGTTAAAGAAAAGGGAAAACAAATATACAGACAAGAGGGAGAAAGCAGAACAAGGTATCAGACAAGAGAGTTTCAAAGGTATAAACAGGGAGTGTTAGTGTACTAATCGACAGTAAGCTGAACAGACATAGAGAGACAGAGAGAGGATTGAAAATCAAAGATAAAAAAAAAAAATAAGTAAATGAAAGAATATCTATATATATAAAATGAATAAAATAAAATGGAAAATAGAAAATTAAAAAAAAAAATTCCAAGTTTATATGCAATGCAGTTTCAGTCTTAATAATTTGGGTGTCCGTCTCAATCTCCAGTCCTGGAGTTGGTGCCTCAGATGTTGTTCTGTAGTTGTCTCATCAAAGGGATGCATAAAGTAGAACAAAACTACACACACACACACACACAACACAACACAAAAAACCCCACCAAGTGTCCCAGTTCAAATGCAATACAGTTTCAGTAAGTTTTTCGGCTTGCAGGTGTAATTCGGTTGTTCTCTCATCAAAGGTAGGGAGAAAAAGAAAAAAAAAGCGTCTGGAGCAGTTCTGAGAGTGGTATCTGCAACTGTGGCTTGCCTGCCTGCTGCTCTCAGCCTGTAGCTGCGGCGTTATTTATGCAGATCTCTGGGGTGAGCTAGCACTCACCTGGTCCCACAGGCTTTGTTTGCTCAGAGTTCTCCTGTGCGGGAGCCTCTGCTACAGGCTTTCCCTTTCCAAGCACTGGGAAAGGTGACACTGCCCCGTTTGTCAGGCCTGCGTTTTATTTACAGTTCATGTGGGAGTGGGTCTTCCCCCCTCCTCTGAGTTTTCCTCCCACTGCCACTTTCAGAAGCTTTCCTGCTCCTGCTTACTGGCAGTGCTGCTGTTCCTGCCGCCATGTTTGTTTACAGTTCACGTGGGAAGTGGGTCTTCCCTCCTCTCACAAGCTCCCCGCTCCTGGTTGCTGGGCGCGCCCGCTCCCGCCAGAGCTCTCCGGCCCGCCCGGCTTGTTTATTTACAGTCCCAGAGGATTCCCTTCCCCCAATCTTCAGCGCTCAGGGCGCCCCACCCTCTTTCCAGCGTGTCTTACTGTTCTTATTGCTTATTACTCAGTTCTCTTTTTTTCCCGGGTGGAGGTCAGTCTGTCCAGGGGGCTATGCTGCTCTGGCCCAGGCTTGTCTGTGGGCTACCGCGGTACCGCGAAGCTCACCTGGTCGCTCTTCCCACACCATAGGGCACCGCACTGCGGCCCCGGGGGCCCTCCTCGTTTCTCCGTTTAACGTGAAGTGGAGATTCTCTGCACCGGCTGGAGATGTGGAGGGGTCAAAGTTATGTGCCTTTTCTTGGTGATTATGCCTGCAAAGTGTGTCTCCAGCATCTCTCCAAGATTTCACTATAGGAGGGTCGCTTTCTGCTTCCTACCTCTAGCCACCATCTTGGAATCTCCCTCCTTACCTTTTCTTCATGTCTTATTTTCATATGGCCGCTTGTGGCATAGCACAACTCAGTCATTCTTTTAACATGCAGGCTGCTATCGCCTTAGTCGTGACTTGGTGTCTGGTGTCTAGTTGTTAAAACTTCACACCTGATCTTCCTAGTTCACACCTGCCTCTCATCCTCTGGACCTTCCTTGCTAGCTGTCTTCTCTCCTATGCCAACAGTTCCTGCCCAAGGTAGAAGTCTCATGGTGCACATCTCTGCTACCACCTGCAGTTGATCCCACTAGCTGTTCATCCCATGTCTTTGAGGCAGCCTGGGCACTGCAGTTGTTCAGGCCTTGTTTTTTTCTTCCACTGGTCCACAGCCCACCCACCGCACTGTCCCAGCCCTATGTGCTAATTAGGGTGCATTGTGATCATGCTTTGTGTCACTGCCATGTTGGGTTCCTCAGAGGCCAGCTGTGTTTGAGCCTGGTGATTCCAGAGAAATATTGAGTTAAATAGGAGGTCACAGAGGAATAGGTAGGTCCCCATTAAGGACCGGTTATTGAATATCTTGCATTAAACCTAAAGTGGAAACATGATTCTGTGTTCTGTTTACTATTAATATTTTTGTTTTTGATGTTTTGTTTTTGTTTGTGATTTTCTTGTTATTGTTTCCTAGCCAAATTTCATTTGAAAAATTGTAATCTAACATAAATAATCTCTGAAGCAAATTATTTGTCCTTTTCTAGTATTGCATGGGTGGAATCTTGTAAGTGGTTTAATTTAGGCTTGAATCAATATGGTAGGTAACAGAATCTTCCAGGTATACCTGAATCCAGATAGGAAAATCTGGGGCCCTGCACAATTTGGGTCTGTTATCAGAGTTGAACCCATAAGGGTGAGTCAGGCAGACACCAAGAAGCTACTGTCCCTATAATTCCCATGCCTCCCCTTTTGTTCACGGGATTTATTTGTTCTCTATTTCCTTCTGTTGCCCTCCTCACCCCAGTGGAGCTAGGGTCCAGATTTCATGTCAGAACACTCTTCAGGCCTCACTGCATGCATCTGTCAAAGTACTGCTCTACATATAATTTGTTTCTGTGTGCTTGTGATCAGCCTGTAGAATCCAGGTGCCAAAGAGTTCATTCCTCCTCTACACTAGCTCTTTTCTTTGCTTTTCTCCAAGACCCCTTTCTTCCTTTGTCTATGAAAGGCCTCATGGCACTTCTTATTTTCTTTGGCAAGGTGTTTTGACATGAGAAGTATATAGGAGTCCTGGATCAATTCACGATCAGCTGACTATTACAAAAAGTGTTATGTAAGTTTTCAGTTGTTCTAATGAGTAGCTGTAGTGCCTGCTGGTCCTGTGCCCATTGTACAGTAAGGTCCCCTGTGAATACTTGCTGTTCTCACACTGCTCTTTGGATTGTTCTTTGCAGAGGAGTGCAACAGAAACAAGGGAGGGTCTCGAAGGTACTGCTGTTTGTGCTTTGGGCAAACACAGCATTTCCATCTTGAATATTTGCTGCTCAGAACACTCTGAGTTGGTCACCAGCCCCAGTAGATTCTCTAATGAAATGTTCAGGTGACTCCCCTGAAAGGCCTGGCCCAGGAGGGTGGGGGAATGAAGAGGAAAAGCAGGAGCCCAAGTGTCTGCCTGGTCCAGAGCTGGAGGTTGGCAAGGTTCCACAGCCTGAATAATCTCAGCCCCTGCTTCAGGTTTCTCATCTCAACTTCACAGGGCTTGGAAAGATCTGAGGAAGACTGCCTTGTGAACTCACGTCTGGTGGGTCTGTCTTGCACAGGACATCCAGGACCACCAAACGCTCAGGATCCTCGTGGAGAATCGGCCGATTGGCTTATGGGCAGGATATGAACAAGGAGAGACAAGGTGACACTAAAGAGGCAGCTGCCTTGAAATCTGTAGCACCACATTCTGTTGTCCTTTCCCAGGCTGGAGGCCAGGTGGGGGACAAGGCAATTAGAGTTGGGGAGAAGGGCATGCCTGCCAGCTCTAAGACTCCTCTTGTAGAAAGTTTGATGATCTCTGTGTTATCAGAGCCAGCACCCTGCCTTTCCTCTTTGGGGAGGGTTTAAGAAATAGTGCCATTGTAAGAAAACTGTAGAGATGTCCCTGGCCTCTCTGGAACTTTGCCTTTTCCTTTCTGGAGGCTCAGGGCCTGCATGTATACCTGGACCCAGTGTTCTTGGGAAAAGTCACACATCTTCCTTTTCCACACTAAGTGCTTTGACACATTGAGCATTGAAACAACTGAAGTCCTGTCAGCACAGCCAGGCAGGAATTGGAAGTGATTCTGCACTGTTTAGTGTGGAAAGTATGAAGCCTCATTTAGGAGGTATACATTTGTTTTATTTAGTTAGTTTTGGAAGTGTACATTTAGGAAGGAAAAAAAATCTGCATAGCTCAGTGGTAGAATACTTGCCTAGCATCCATGAAGCCCTGGGTTCAACCCCCAGCACTGGCCCCCCAAAAAGAAAAAAAAGGCAAAAATACTGGTATAGGAGGTATTTTTGCCAAAAACCTTCAACCGATGGAAGTTGAAAGGAAAGCCCTGGGTACAGCTCAATGCACATCTGTGTGCCCTTCCTTGCTTCTTTACACACCTCCTCCTCCTCTCTTATAAGGTTTAACTGGGAATATTAATTTGATAAATTCTCCATTAAGAAAATTCACAATCTACAGCCTGGAGATAAAACTTTTCATCCTACAAAGGTGGGTGCCTGACAGTGAGTGACGTTAGGTATCAGGTGATGGCAAAGGGCTTTGGGGTGAGCTCAGTAATAAAGCATTTGGCCTAATGTGTGAGGCCTGGCTCCAGTCCCAGCAAATACAAACAAAAAAAAAAAACGGGAGCATCGTGGAGAATGAAAGGAGCCTCAAGATCTTCCAGATGAATGTCTTGGTTTTCAGATATGAGAGACTGAGCCTCGAAGTTGAAGGAATAACGCCAAAAATTTCATAGTTGTCTACCGGCAGAGTGGTGACCATTGTCTCATCCACCAGCCCCGGTCTCAATGCCTTCCTTATTGTTTATACTGCACTATTGAGGATATAGCTGGTGCAAGCCAGGGGACACCAGGCTCCCGAGGAGGCGCGACCTTAGTGTTCACAAATGGCACATTATGACCACCTCATTGGTCCTTGACTCCCTCTTAGGAAACTCCCCAGCATCTGGAACCAGTCAGAACACAAGTGCAGGGACCTGCCTTCTTCATTGGTTTCTCTGAAAAATTGATGATTTTCCCAGAAAGACACCTTCATAAAACTGAAGGTGAGTGCCATTTCTCCCCTGCCCATATTCCTCCCAGCTCTCACCTTTAAAAAAAAAATTCCTTAGTGGCGTGGGTCTTGCCTTTTGTAAAGGGAATCAAGCTCCCAAGAATTTCAGCCTCCACGCCATCTTGGAAGCTGCTCTCACTCTGGGATTAACTAAGGCAGGGCATAGGAGGTGAACAGATGCAACAGAGGTGTAGCAGTGCTTGCCAGTGGGGCCAGCTGGGGAGATTTAGTGAGGGTGACCCACTAGTCTCCACGCATAAATCCAAGATGTCCAACCTTAAACTGCCATCAGGAGCTTCACTGGCTGTTGTAGGCGAATTGTAGGTGGCATACAGTACAACATCGGCCGCCACACCTGACAATTCTGCAACACTACTGCACTTTGAGCCAGGCACATTCTGATGAATACCTGATATAAGTGGAAATCCTCTAGCTGCTTTGGGCAAACACAGTAGAATAAGAAATGGAAATTCAGAAGCTTCCTTCCTGACGCTGGAAACTGAGCAACCTCAAGCCAGAACATGTGGCAGTCCTCTCCAATTCCACCTCCATGGCAAGGCTTTGGGTGATCCATTTGTCTGGGTTATGTATGCTGTGATTTTGGCATGTTGATGGTGTGGTATATGAGGGTTGTATGTGTGTTCTGTCTCACATCTAGAATTCAGGTCCTGAATCCTCCTTTCCAATCTTTTTTTCAGGCTGACAAAAGGAGTTGTATTTATCAATAGACAAAACCATAGGACGCTACTGGAATTTTAGGCACCAGGAAAGCCTCTATGTTCCAGCACCTGGCTTCATCCCTGGAAAAAATGAGGTTGAACTCCCAGGGACCCACCTTTTCCCTTATAATGCCCCCAAGTTCAACTTTCTTTGGAACTCTTCATGACTCGAGGAGAACTTGAAATCTCAAATGGATGCCTTACCCCTTCTTCTTTGTGGCAGATCATCCCTGGTTTGAGGAATTTGAAGGTGGCCAAGAGATCCAGTTCACAAAAGAGCCTCATCTAGGTTGGCATTCTGAGTCATTTTGCACCTAGGCTAATCTTTTTGGCAATGGATGTGCCTGTCTTTCCCAGACCTGAAGCCTACCTTATGGCCCTTGCACCAAGGAGTTTAGGTATTCATTATGCTATCACAGTCCCACTCAATCCCCTTCCATTCTAAAATGACCCAACTCCCCTCCTCCCACAGTGCTCCAGCTTCTTTAGTTCCTTCCCTACAATTCACACACTGTTGTTTCAGGATCCTGTCTCATTGTGAGCCAGTTTTCAACATCCTCTGCTTCTTATCGTTTCTAAAACGGTCAACTGTTCTCGCAGTTCTTTCTCAGGACCTGTCCTGTTAGATAGTTATCCAAGAGGCACTTTTTCTGTGGCACTTTTGCCAGGTTGCGTAGACAGGGAAATGCATGGATCAATTTGCAGCAAGCCCAGTGTTGCATAGTTCTGTGTCTTTCTGGGTGCCTGCTGTCTGGCCACCCAGCTGTCCTTTCACCTTTGAATTTGGTAGTCGTGATTCCAGATATCCTTTACTCTTTTTTTGGAGGGGGGTGGTTGGGGATCAACTCAGGCTTTGTGTCCTGCTAGGCAAGGGCCCTAAACCTCTGGTTCCATTACCAGCCCCAGACAGCCTTTTTCGGTGAATCCCACTCTTTCCTCAGTAGTCTTCATGGGTCTAGTAATATATCTGTGCTCCCTCCCTGGGGCACAATAAGCCTAATCACATTTTTTCTTTCAGGATATTGATCTCAAGTGGTATGACAATACAGTAGAAAAACAGGCTGAGCTGAATCATGTCAATAGTGTGCGTGAGTAACAACATCCATCCTGACATGTGGGTCACTGCACTCCCAGGCTGTCTTTCTAGCCCAAAGCTCCTTCAAACCCAATCCCCACTTCTCACCTGCCCAGCACATCTTGCTTTTTTGGCTAAGTTAGCTTACCTATTCTGGTGGTTTGCAAAAAAAGTAAGCATAGCCCCAGTTGCCACACTCTTTGCATGTTCCACCAATAAAAAGCTGTTTGACTATCAATAAAAATGGTGAAAAAAATGAGAAATGCTTGAGTACTTGACCTTGCAAATGTAAATCCGACAAAGTGATCTTTCTAAGAAACCCAAATAAATATAAAAGTTAGTGCAGGAAGTTTCAGGTAGATTGTGTATGACTTGTATTTTTAAGAGTTAAAAATGCCAGTGTTTTCCTCTTATTTCCAGTGGGTCTTTCATATTAATTGGGTTTTCCATACCAGGTGAAAGCTCTGCTTTCTTAGAGACTATGTCAACAACTGTTCTCCCTTTCCACTTCTGGCACCTGATTTGCAGTCCTTGTTGATATTCCTTATTTACTCCTGTTCCTCTACAGAGGTCCAAATCCTTCTGAACCATAGCAAGGGCAAGAAGGAGCCATCTCAATGCTGGGGTAAATTAACTGGTGGCCCAGCAACAAGGCAGGCGAGGGGAGGCCAGAGGGTTTTGTTTTTTCAGTCATACAATATTTCGTGTGGTGTGAGTGGTCTGATTAGCGGCAGGTTGTCTGGAGAGTTTAGACAAGGTATACCATAGAAGTGAGTTCATTGCATGGAGGGCTGCAGAAAAAGACTAAAGGAATCACAGCCAGACCTCAGAGGCTCTGAACCCCAGTGGGAACCAGGGTCAGAGCCAGGGTCAG